CTGGCGAAAATCCAACCGGCCAGTGTAGACAGCTGGCAAGTTTTTCCACAAAAGCACCTGCATTTGCGGAAAAACTTGCCCGTCTAGACGCAGCCATTCTGTTTAGGAGGGAGGTTGCTGTCTGGTGCACTTCCGAGGCCAGGGTTGTACATTGTCATGGCATTAAAAACTGTTGTAATGAGTATGTGCTAGAGGACCAGACCAAGGTGGCTCAGGAAACTTGGATTCTGGGCTGCAACTTTCACCTTTTCGTAGAGAGGGGACTTTGTGTCTGTCATTTCTTAATTACAATCTTAATTTCTGACAAAGTTCTCCTGCATCATTGGAGGAGAGAATCTTCACTGAATGATGGGAGACTGACAGCCCCAGGGATCCCCTCTCCCCAGCTCTACCTCTCTGCAGCAGACATGAGAGCTTTGAAACCCCTATGGGAAAAAGCACAGGTTCTCTGATGGCCATTCTGTGAATGGCCATCAGAGCTTTCTTGCGCAAAAATGTCCATGTAGCGTGGATGCTCTCTTGCACAAAAGCACATGGCTTTTGCAATGAGCTTTAAGGTGTGGCCGTGCTCTTGTGCAAGACGATTTTGTGCAAAAACTCTTGTACAAAAGGTTTCTTGCACAAAAAGCTGGCAGTGTAGACACACTAGTGTAGACATGCCCCAGTGTAGACACATCCCTAGTGTAGACATGCTCCAGTGTAGACACAGCCCCAGTGTAGACACATCCCTAGTGTAGACATGCTCCAGTGTAGACACAGCCCCAGTGTAGACACATCCCTAGTGTAGACATGCTCCAGTGTAGACACAGCCCCAGTGTAGACACATCCCTAGTGTAGACATGCTCCAGTGTAGACTCAGCCCTAGTGTAGACTCAGCCCTAGTGTAGACATGCCCCAGTGTAGACATGCTCCAGTGTAGACACAGCCCCAGTGTAGACACAGCCTTTCAGAAGGGAGTGTCTGTGCTGGCATGTGCCTTTGTGCAAGAGCATCCGTGCCACTGTAGATGCTCTCTTGTGCAAGAAAGCTCTGATGGTCATTTTAGCCATAGGGCTTTCTTGCACAAGAAATTCATGTTGCCTGTCTACACTGGCCTCTTGCACAAGAACAGTTGTGCAAAAGGGCTTATTCCTGAGTGGGAGCAGCATAGTTCTGGCGCAAGAAGCCCTGATTTCATACAGTAGAACATCAGTGTTCTTGTGCAAGAACTTGTGGCCACTGTAGACAGGCAGCAAGTTGTTGTGCAAAAGCAGCTGCTTTTGCTCAAGATCGCACCAATGTAGACACAGCGTAACTCTACTGCATTCACAGAACACACGACCTCTTCCCTGCTCCCTCCTTCCTCCATTCACCAGGGTGTGTATTATGGTGGCTTGCAATACACTCACCCTAAGCATCCAAACCACTTCTAGACTCTGGCCTGACATGTGCAGCTTGTCCAGCGATAGCACATGGAGTCCTCCCTGAGTGTGCTTGTGGAAACTTGCATATATTCTCCTCATATCAGTAAGCTTTGAAACCAGGGATAGGAACAGATATACTTATCTCATAGGCTGTGTCCAGACTCAGGGTTTTTTTCGGGAAAAGTAGCCTTTTTCCGAAAAAACTTCCCCTGCGTCCAGACTCAAGCCGCGTTCTTTCGAAATTAAATCGAAAGAACGCGGCTTTTCTTTCGATGGCGGTAAACCTCATTTCACGAGGAAGAACGCCTTCTTTCGAAAGTTCCTCTTTCGAAAGAAGGCGTTCTTCAATGTAAATAGGGCTTCTTCAAAAGACAGCATCCAGACTCACTGGATGCTTTCTTTCAAAAAAGCAAGCCGCTTTTTTGAAAGTTCAACGTGCAGTCTAGACGCGCTCTTTCGAAAGAGGCTTGCAGTCTAGACATAGCCATAGAGCTGGAAGAAACCTTGAGAGGTCATCAAGTCCAGTCCCCCACCCTTGCAGCAGGACCACGCACCATCCTGACAGATTTGCCCCACATTCCTAGAATGGTCCCCTCAGGGATGGAGCTCACAACTCTGGGTTTAGCAGGCCAATGCTCAAACCAGTTACCCCTCACCCTCGATAGACATCTGCGCAATTACACCTCCAGAAGTTGTGGCAGAGCAAGGACTTGAACCCAGATTGCCAATAGCTCATGCGTGTAACCTCAGCCGTGAGCCATTCCTCCTGTTGTGGATGACCCTCTACTTCCAGCACAGGCCATTGCTTCCAAGGCTGAAGCACAAATAACGTGGGGAGCAGGGTAACTGAGCCGAAGGGGATCTCTGTGCCTTCACAGTGGGCATGGGAGCATGATAGCCGCACTGCCAAAGAAGTGAAACTCACAGGTAGGTGACAGAGCTCATAGAACAAGGTTTTCCCAGGACTTTCAGGAGGTGCGCTGCAGTTATACAATTATTTAATGGTCTCTCGAGGTGGCAGGCAGGAGATGGTCTGCGTGGAGATCTTCTTTAAAAACCAGCACCCCACACAGACCAGCTCTCAACTGCAGCCTCATGTTGCTTCCTCTGATATAGAGGCAACAGCACAGAGGGAGGGGGCAGAGTGGCTATGTAAAACGGGTGCTTGTGGGGAGCTGGATTTTAAGCCAGCTCCTCCCCAGCACTAGCTCTTGTTTTTCCCATCCCCGACTCTGTGGAAGACAGCAGGGGGAGGGGCTGCCTCCCTGCATCTATTGGCTGCTGCCTGCCCTCCTCACCCTCTATTCTGTGTATCTGCTAGATATGGTGCTTGTAGGGAGCTGGCTTAAAAGTTGTCTCTCCATGGGCACCAGCTCATCGCTCCTCCCACCACCCACTGTGGCTACTGATTCAGAGACAGCAAGGGGGAGGAATGCATGTAATCACATGAGTTAACTGATAAGCGTATCGGTTGCTCCTTTAAGAAATTATGGGCCAGCATCCCTAATCGTTACATCATCTTATGATTTTGAAGCCAATCTCATGATTCTTGATGAACCTGACTCAAGATTTTTGAAGAATTGGAGGGGACAATACCACACACCGCATGACCTAGGAAAGGTGCCTCTTCTTGCTGGGCCTCAGTTTCCCATCATGGTGTTGGGAATAATCTTCTCTTTCTCCCATGCTTTCATCTCTCTTGCTATGTAGCCTGTCAGCTGTGGGCAGCTGCTCTCTCTCACTAGGAATAGTTACTAGAGTCAAGATACTGAATGAAAAAGCTCAATGGTCTGGTCTAATGTGGCAGCCCATCTTCCTAAAATCCTGTAAAGTCAATGACAGTTGTGGAAGGAGAGGGAGGAGATAAAGGAGAACAAGGTGCAGGATAAGAAGGGGGAGGAGGAGCACAAGGAGAAGGAGAAGGAGGAAGAGAAGAAGGAGCAGGACAGGAGGAGGAAGAGAAAGGAGAGGAGAAGGAGGAAGAGGAGGAGAAGATGGAAGAAGAAGGGAAGAAGGAAAGAAGGATGAGTAAGAGAATGGGGGTATCTCTACACTGTGGGGATTTTCTGGGATACCAGAGGTATCCTGGAAAAAGCCACTGCATCCAGGGAACGCATCTGCTCTTCTGCTTTTTTTTTTTCCAGAAGAGCAGACTCGCTCTTTTGGGGAGCCCTGTATTCCTAGTAGGCATGATCAAGAAAGTACTTGGTCCTGCCGTGAGGAACAGCACTGGACTCAATGACCTCTCAAGGTCATTTCCTGTTCCAGTATTCTATGATTCTGCTGAGAAGGAGCAGGAGGAGGAGGAGAAGAAGGAGAAGTAGACAGAGGAGGATTAGGGAGAGGAGGATCTGGAGAAGAAGGAGCAGGACAGGAGGAGAAAAAAAGGAGAGGAGGAGAAGAAGAAAGAAGGACAATGGAAATGGAGGTGGACTTGGATGAGGAAGAGAAGAAATAGAAGAGGAGGAGAAGATCTGATTGACATCTATCAGGGATGATGTAGACAGTGCTTGGCTCTACTATGAGGGCAGGGGAGTGGAGTCATTGACCTTTCGAGGTCCCATCCAGTTCTAATGTTCTATGATTCTGAGGAGGAGGAGGAGGAGAAGAAGCAGGAAGAGGAGGAGAAGAGAGAGGAGGAGCAGGAGGAACAGCATATTTAATTAGAAGATTTTAAATCAGTTCATACAAAGCAGATCAGTCTCATCATACTGAAATTTCAAACTGCTTAACTGTGGAGTGTCCAGCACCCTCAACACGCAGCCTTTCACAGCTTCCAATTCCCCCTAAATAACATAGCATGGAGCCCACCCTCTTGAAATCTCATCATGGCTCCCCTGGGTCTTCTACAAACAGCATAGAAAACCAGGTCTCAATTGCACAGGTGTCAGTGTAATTAAATATGCAAATGCAGAGCTAATCCCATTACCCTGTCATTATTGCTGGCCTTCTCTGTGGCTGGTTTTGCCTCTCTCGTGTAGCATTCTCTCTGCAGGTTTTCTTCCTCATCTGCCTCTGGGGCTTTCTGCTCTTCTGACATCATTTCTAAAGGTCGACACGTAGGCTTGTCCAGTTCGAGATGGATTTTCTGAACTGCCTCTTTTCCGGAACATAAATCCTGCTTTAGAGAGCCATGTTTCTCCTTGAAGGGTTGGATTGTGTCCTTCGCCTTTTCTTCATCCTGTTCCCTGTACTCCTCCAGGGCCTTGGCCTGCTGCTGCCTCTTCTCCTTGGCATGTCTATAAATCTCACAGGTGTAACATCGG